TTGATCCGGGAAGCTAGTCCCAGTTCCACCTCTGCCTTGGACTTCCTGACCGCCCCCCTGCATCCCCGAGCAACCGCAGTATAGTTCTCCCTGGTGATCGCCCCTCCCTTCAATTGGGTGTATGCCTCCCTTTTAGCTAGGAGACATTCCCGGATGCTTTTGGTGAGCCATGGGGGCTTATGTGCCCTCCTGCTTCCTTTGATCTGTGTAGGGATTACCTCCCTTTGGGCTTGGAGGATTGTCTCCTTAAGGAGCAACCACTCTTCTTGGACACCTGCCTCCCCTCCCCTCCGGGACCTCAGTGCTTCCCCGACTATTCTCCTTAGCCCCCGACTATTCTCCTTAGCTCAACCTTTACTACAGCTGTCCTTTTTAGGCTGAACTTGAGCCAGTTTGTTTTCATCTACTTACTTCTATTCTTATTCTTGGCAACTGTCGATCCTCTGGATCCTCTATTCGCTGGCTACTGTAAAAGCAGACTGGCTGTAGAATACAGACAATGTGTCAGTGACACCGTTGCTAGTTATATCACAAGTCTGCACACCAAATGTAAACACTGAGCAATGGTGTTGAACAAATGGATACTACATGTGAGATCCTACAAGGAAGAAGAGTAATTACTGAGTGCTGACCTTAATGGAATCTGAGAGGTAGTAAAGTATGTAGTAGTGCTAAGCAACCTCTTTCTCCTCATCATGAGATATCCATAAAACCTGGGAATGCAGAGGATACTGTCAATCAGTAAGGCTTCTCACTTCCAAAATGGTATTTATGGTCACAAACAGAGGGAAGTTCTCCGCAAAAGCTAGCAAGTCTGACATGGCACTTGCCAAGAATGTGAGAGATCCAAATAGGAGACTTATGTCTGAATTAGTTAAATCAGGGACTCAAGCCTCAGGTTCCCACAGCTCGTGTGAGTGCCCTATCCACTGGGCTCTTACCTGTTCTAGGTTGGTGTCTTTGTTGTGCGTATGTGCAAAAAAAAAAAAAAATTAGAAGGATCTTGATTTTTGTCTTGCTGCAGAATAGGGAAACTTCTGAAATCTTTCACAGGTCAGAAAAATGTTTTTTTGTTCAGTGGCAGGATAACTAACAGAAATGTAGGTATCATTTTTCCGAAGAGAAAGTGAAAAACATGCCTTTATATGTTTAATTTACCTGAGCAAATACAATTGCATATAGATGTGCCAAATGAATAGTCTGATGACCATATGTATCTGATGGGAATGAGGGAATCCACTTTTGTATGCATATTTGTGCTCTTGACCTTTTGAAAACCAAGTCTTTACTTTCCTGGGTGACATTCATAGACTTTCTAGAGATGTTTATCCCTTTAAAAAGAGAGATTTGCCATGCCTGTGAGACCCTAGTAATATGGAAATGCTCTGAATTTATTTGATGGCAAGACACAGCTATACAAGGAGAAAAGAACAATAGTATGGGTGCCTTTTTCATGAAATGTGTTTAAGAGATTTTTAAAATGGTATCCAAGTTGAATTATGTAATTGCATCCAGATATTTTTCATGCAGTAAATGTGTTCTTCAGGTAACTGAAGTTTCTCTGCCCTGGACTGCATCATGCCCTTGACTTAAGGTAGTAATAACACTACAGGGCAGAACCTGGAACCCTTTTGTTTCTATGTGCCTCAAGGATGGCGTAAAGAGGAAATGAGGCAACACTGCAGTTGTATCAACACTGCCTCTGGAATCAAACATCCTTGTGACTCAAACATTCTTGTGTATTATTACATGTGATGTTACAGCATCTTGTAATCCAGCCTCCCAAAGATTGGGACAGGGTTTTGTTTTAAACGTGTTTGGCAATCTTGTATTCAGTGGTTCATCCAGAGGGGCTGTTCCATGTTTAAATGTTCCTTTTTTTTGATGGTGATCAGCTAAACTGTAAAATTTTGTATAAATAAGAATAAGCTACTTCATCATATTGTAGGATCTTTCATTAAATCTTGAAGTCCTGTGTATAATTGCTACAGGGTGAATAGAAAAGGAAGAGAGGTCATTAAGAATAGGAGGCAAGACATGGGGTGGGGAAAGAATGAAAACCTTCTTGTGGTCCTCTCTCCATTCTGTATAGCAGAAAGAACTGCAGAGCGGAAACAGTGGAAGGAGAAGGGTGGTGGCGAGTGGAGAGAATAAACTAAGACACATTCCTTCAGGGTTTTTGAATATGCTAGGTATTATTACTAATGCTGTTCAAGGTATTGCCTTCTGGTAATCCCATTCTCTGTAAGATCAGAAACATACTGGCCATATAATGATGATACAAATTCACAAAGATGCCTGTATGTTAAGAAGTGATCGTCATGGGTATCCATGGTGGCACTTGCTGAAGCTGCTGAACATACATATTCATGGGTGCTCAGTGCTATTCTCTGTACTAATATGCCTTCAATTCTGCTAGTTCCTGGACAAATTAAGTTAAAGCCATTTCAGGTATGTCTGTATGTTTCTCTTCAGATTAGGAAGTAGACATTATCTGTATTGACACTGTTACCACCCCAGTGTGGCTGTAGGAGCTATTTGCTTTGCAGCCATCTAATCCACATATAGGCAGTTGATTATGAGCTGCAGTACTCCTCTGTGAAACAGGCTTTTGTAAGTGTATACATTAGAATTGACTAGGGATGTTTAAGAATAAGTCAAACTTTTCTGAGTTTAAGGAATACAGATCTTTTCTCTCAAGACTAGTAATAGGTGAGTCCAGGGAGATACAGATAACAAGATCTAAATAGGTACATTTTGCTGAAACATCCTGTATGCTTCTGAAACACACAAATAATGGATTATTAACACTTTATAAAGAGCTCTGCTGATTTCTCTTATGTGGCCTAAAGGTGCCAGAACCTGTTCTACATTAGATACACCATAAAATTATGTGCATGGATGTTAGCGAAAGCACTCCTGTTTGAATACAGCAAGTAAACAATAAAAATAAAGCAAAATATTTGTTGTCCTGTGTTGAAACAGGTTGGGTCAAGATACTGATTATAGAAAGCATACGTCACTGAAATCTGTATGCAGCAGCAAGTAGTTCTAGGAGCATTGGACCCCTGACGCTTAAAACAAATTTAAAAAACAAAACTTTCCTGAGCAGGGAGCTACTTACATTCTCAAAAGTTTTTTTTCTCCCCTGTATGGTTTGGTCACATGTATGAGCAGTTGCCTGCACTTTAGCTCTTGGTCCTTCCTTTCCTTTGCAGTTTCTCCGTGGAATTTTTTCCCTATTTTATTTATGGATGAAGTATGCAAAGGACCAACAGAGCTGCAGCTGCAGTTGTAATAAATGTAAATTGCTAAATTTTCTAGTTTGCATGTATGCATCTACCAATTGCACCTGCTGACCTGCTGAAGTTAGGAACATAAGATTATATTTTCTTGTATGCATACAAAAGTAGTATATGTATAAATTCAGAGTTTGCTTCCAGTTGCAAATTTTGCTAATACATGTACTGACAAAATTGTGGGACCTTGGGAGAAGTTTGGCATGTGAAGTTTCTAGATTTATTTCTGAAGGAGCTTTGAGATTTATGTGATGCATTTAAAAAAAGAAATCCTAATTTTTAGTCTATGGAATTATTTTGATGCTGGTATGAATCTAACTCAGCTTGGGCTTGAAGATTCAATGGACTGTATATATTAAACTTTTTTTCTTTTTTTTTTTTTTTTTTATCTTCACAGCACCTTTCCTTGAGGGCAAAAAGAGTTAAAGTGGATGACCATTGATTTGAAATGGCTATTGAGCCTTATGACATCAGATGCAGAACCTACCACTGATTCAAGCTGGCTACAGTCCATTCAGCAGTCAGTTCATTAGCAACTTGACCTTACATCAACTAAATGTTTAAATGCCTGCTAGGATCCTATAGGGGTTTATGCATGACCAATACCTTGTAAACCTAAGTAGAGCTTGCATTGCAGACATTTTATTCCTTGGCCTAATTGACCACTCTTGTTAACCTGGGTATGTTGCTCCTTTTAATAGGTAGACAAATGATCAAAATATTAAGGGGATACACAGGACCACAAAGAACTAAAACCTCCGGGTAGGAAATTGTATCCTTGGAGTGGTTCAGCAGCCCAGGAGAGTGGGGAGCAGGGCTCAGAGAACCCCATCTCCTTTTACTTAGAGCACTGTGAATACTGCTGGCCATATTCCTGACAGCAGTGAGCTGGCCCTTGAAACACAATGGCCTGCCCTGGAAACCTTGACACTGTGTTTGACTGAGTCTGACTGCTGCGTTGTTGCTCTGAAGCAGTAGAATCCTTCTTTGAGCCAGTTGAGCTTTCCCTTTGTTCCCCATCACGTAAAGTTGTTTTGTAGATAGCTCTGTGTTTAAAATGTGTGGTTTCCATACATGAAAAGCACTACTCAGCAGTGGGGAAATCTTTGGGCTTCTTGTCACTCAGCTTTTTAAGAAGGGGCTGTGTTTTTTGATCAGTCTCCTGGGGTGTATGCACATGTTGTCAGATGGGGTTCATGCAAGATCACAGGTGAGGCTTCACTTTATTTTCTGAATAAGAGAGAAGGTGCAAACCTCTTGCACACAAGATTTCAGCAAGGGAAATCTCATGGGAATACTGCTTTTGGCAAGATTCAGCAAAGATGAAAATGCTCTGGACTTCCTTAAATCAGGAACATTACAAAAAATACTTTTTATTGAAAGAAAACTTGCTCATTGCTATTGGAACCCTTCTCTTATCAAAATGGGAGACAGGGAGTTTGTGGCAGCTGCTGGTTTAGCAGGGACCCCAAGATCACCTATCCATAAAGAACTCTACTCCTTTGTGTTTAAGCCATAATAGCTTGGATACTTGTATTTATTTTTCTTACCTTTTTATATTTATTTCTGAAACATGTTGTTTTAAAGTTTTATTTTTGTAAGGAGATTGGTTTGGTGGCTGAGCCTCCTGGGCTTAACACGTTACCAATAATTTTATTTCCATTTTTTTTAAAGTATGTAAATAAGCAAATCTTTTTACATAGAATAAATGTTTTCCTCACCCCAGGGCTGCCTTATAAGTCATTTTGAGGACGTTCTTTGCATTCTACCTCCCACAAACCTGCAGAGAAAGCTTGTTCTGTCATATGAAATATGTGGTCTATGCAATGGCTATGTACTGATTGCCAGCACAACAAAGAGATGTTAGCCTCAATATATGGTGCCAGCAGCATGACGCACTGGATTTCCCCATGCCAGTCCATCTTTTCTCTCTTTCTTAGAATGTAAGCTCTGTGGGGCAGGTATTGTCTTTGTTTACTATTCATTGTCAAGAACATTGTTGGCACTAAATAAAAAAGATCCACTTTGCTGTTTTTTTTTCTTTGAAGGGGTAGAGAGCGCTGAATACAAAGACTTGTAAATTTTCCATGTTGCTTTGTCCTCTGGAAACATTCTTTAGAAAAATAAAACCATTGAATCAAGACATTTTGAGAACTTATCCCTTTAGCCCATTTGATCAGCCACTGATGACCATTAGTTATGGTTGCACTGTGCTGCTCTGTATTGTGATGCAGACATGGAATGAACATCCCATTAATCTGGCGTTTCTGAGAACACCCACTCCACCTGGATTTTGCTGTCCAGAAATGAAAGGTTGAGACTCCTACCTGATGTATATTTCACTGTGTTTCAAAATAGTTGATTCTCTTCTTTCCCTTGCCCAGTAAACTAGTAAAGATTCCTGTTAAATTAGGAGCACAGAGATTTGAAAGCTGTGTTGGAATCTGTAACTATTTCCATCTTTAACTGAGCAAGTGAAATAGGTCTGCATAAGAAAACCCAGACTTTCTAGCACAGCAGTGAGTTTTAAATTACTACAATGACACAAAACCAGAGGCATGGCCAGTTAGAATAGATGCACTTGATCCTGAAGTCCTGGGCCAGTAATTGGTGGTGCTTGGATGCCTCTCCTTTTTCTGGTTCCCAACATGAGAGAGCTTAATGGAAAAACACAGAGTACACCCTTTGATCTGAATTTTATTAATGTTGCTTAGGTGTTTGAAACTGAATATACAAAACTTTCTGTAATCACTACTCCTACAATCCCTTTACTTTGTAAAATTTGGGCCTAAGGCTTTGTGCTTGATTCATAGTGCTATGTTTCAAATAAGTTTAGTTTTAATCACTAGTTTGACTCAGGCTTCACAAAAGACAGCCTAACTTTAGCATGAGCATCACTGGTGCTTTACTAGCATAGAGGGTTGCAGAGATGTGAGGATGTTACCAGATCTTCATAGAAGGATTTACTGGAAAAAAATTTAAGAGCATCTGTCCAGAGTGGAGATACTGAAATATTATACTCTTGTATCACTAAAGCTCTCTTACAAAAGAAGTTTGCAGTAAAAATTAAGCATATTGTAACACCAACAGTAAATATATGGATCTGTTACCTATTGAAATTGAGGTTAAGCAATAGAAGATGCATTTCTGAAGAAGTCCATAAGAAGGTACTCTTAGTATTTCTGCACAAGGCCTTGCATTGATAGACTGCTGTAATTGTCAATGGTAGAAATACTATGAAGCTAATTGGAATAGAAATTCAATAGAGGGTAGTGATTGAAATGCTAATCTCTTCCTAGGGACAAATGGGGGCTGTGGTAAATTGATGGAGAAACAGTCATAGCTGAGACCCATTTTTCAGGCAGCTCTGAAGAGGCCTGTAGTAACATAGAAGAAACTCAGGCACATTAACTTAAGGTGATGCACTTGTTATTGGTTCTCTAGCTCAGCGCTTGTCAAACACACATCCTGTACTTTGACTAGATCATTGCAAGTTTGTCAGTCGTCTTGCATCTAAAAAAAACATGCTAGAGCAGGGGTGGGCAAAATGCAGCCTGCGGGCTGGATGCGGCCTGCTGGGCCATTCTGTCTGGCCTGCGGGGCCCCTAAAAAATTTAGAAAATTTATATTTATCTGCCCCTGGCTGCCTGTCATATAGCCTTCGATGGCTTGCCAAAACTCAGTAAGTGACCCTCTACCCAAAATAATTGCCTGGCCCTGTGCTAGAGTGTTTCTTTTGCTTACAGATACTGTACTTTGGCTTAGTTCAACTCTTGATCCTTGTGCTTGGCTGCTTGTAGAGACATGCTCACAGCAATTGCATACTTAACCTAATCTGTCTGTCAGGTTACATCGTATTCTTAAGCTAAAGAGCAGTGTAGTGTTAGTATCTGTAAACTTTGAGTGCCTGTTGACTAATGAAACTCCAGACCCCTGAGGCTAGAATCTCCTCTCCTGTGTTCAGTGGGCCAGTGCAGAAAATTAATGTCATTTCTTGTGGCATCAAGTGGTAAGAGGCCCACAAAGAGACTAACAGTGTGAGAAGCCCCTTTTCTCACCTGCAACTTTACTTGATGGGAGCCAGACCTGAAAAAACGCAAAGGTGTTAAGCAATTGTTTCAAAAACTATTTTCTCACCAAAAAAATCATGCACCTCCCCACCCTCCACACTATTGGGATGCATGTACTAAGCAAGGAAGCTGATTTTTTTGCCGGAGATAGAAACACCCTGCTTTGCTTCCTGCTCTGCAGTGCACCAGATATAACATCACCAGGGATTCGGGTTTTCTATTTCCCATGGAAAAACAGGAATAAAACCACGGATTTTCCCTTTTACCCAAGAAAAATGTGGATTTCTTATTTTAATGGAGAAATATGTGGATTTTTCCACTTTTGCAAAGCAGGTGGAGGGCAGTCGGGCAGGGGCCACCATGTATGTGCTTATGGCCACCAGGCAGCCTGGAAAGCAGCTCCGGCAGGTAAGTCTGGCAGGGGGGATTGAGACTCCTGTATGGAGAAAGGGAGCGAGTTGGGCCAGGCGGAGGCTGTTGCCCAGCCGGGTGGGGCTTGGGGCCCAGGGGCTGGAATGCATGACTGCAGGGCCCTGGTGGGGAATGGGACAGGGCCGCAGGTGTCTCGTCTGGGGGACAGGAGAGTAGGGTACCTCCCTGCCACTGCGCACGCTCCCAGGGAAGATGGGGGCATGTCCCCCCAGATCTGTGCACAGGGTGGGGATGGGAGCAGGCTGCCCACTGTGGGCTCAGGTTCCCCGCCCTCTCCAGGGCCAACCCAGTGCGGCAGGGCAGAGGGGGGCCGGGTGGGGAAGCTCCTTGGCATTGTGACCCCTGCATCACCCTGGCAAGGTTCCCTCTGCTGCCCTGGCAACTGTAGGGGCAGTAGCGCAGGGTTGTGCCCCTGGTTGCTGCCGGGTGTAGCCTATGGGACTACACCCAATCTAAACTACGCCGCTTACAAAAAAACATGTCACTTAGATCAATTCAGGCTCAGGCTTTTTGAAGGTCTGTACCTACCCCTAGACATCACTAAAATTCCTGAGAGGGCTTGAGCTGCTTCTGTCCTTTCTGCCAGCCCTGGCCAAAAAGTCCTGTCACTCATGAAGAATTGGTGAGTGCAGGTGGTGCCATGTCCACATGAAGTGACATCAAACTGGAGTGTCTGCTGCTCTATTTGAAAATGTCACTGCCCTGGTTCATTTCTAAATGTAGCCTGTGGGGCGCCTTGCCAGGGCAGTGCGAGGCTCGTGGTGGCAAGGAGCTTCCCTGCCCAAGCCCGCAGCAGGCAGACTAGACCTGCCCTTGACTCCCCGTGGGCTCTGCTTCAGCTGTGCCACCTGCGGGGAGGGGAGCCAGGCTCTGTGCTCCACTCCCTGCTCAGGCCACAGCAGCTGTTATCTCCCACGGATGCCAGCTGGGGCTCAGGCGCTGCTGCAAGTGGGCAGGGGCCTGCAGACTTGTGTCCCCGGTCCTGTAACCCCAGTAGCTGGTGGCACCAGCATGGGTCATCAGGCTGTGTGGGGGAGGGGGGTGTTGAGAGCACCAGAAGGGCTGGGGGGCTGTGGTTGGGGAGCGAGGGGGACCAGTAGGGCCAGGGGGCTCGGGTGGGCACTGAGGGGCCTGGACCCGTGTCCTAGTGAGCAAAGGGGACAGGCGGAGCTCTGATTGTCCATGATAAAAAAAACCCTTAATCAAATGCCAAAACGTATAGAAATTTAGAATTTTTTCTATCGTAGTGATTGAGGCACCAGTAAGCTTCCAAACTGCTTTAAAATTGTATCAATAAAACATTGTGTTCAACTGACGCCTATATATACATAGTGGCGTTTCATTTTAATTGCAGATTTTGGGGGTTTTATCAGAGAATTTGTGATTTAAAAAAAATAATTAAATCAGAGAATTTGCATTTTTTCCTCCAAGAAAACCAGGATCCCTGAACATCACTATTCAGGCAGCTGAGGGAGTCAGTTGAGCACATTGCCTTTTCACTCCACAGGCGTTAACAATTGTCCTGTCTTTTTAATAGCTTTGTTCCATTAATAAAGTTAACTTTTCTTAGGGCGATTTTTGTTGTCTGCGAGGCGCTCCTAGACTCTCTCTTCCCACTAGCTCTTTTCAAAATCATAGCTCCACCCATGGGGACCAGTCTTTAGCAGCAGCGCACCCCAGCTGAGAGCCATTGCAGTAAGTTGAGGCAGCACAACAGTGGTTCTCAACTGGGGTGACACCAAATTCATAAGTTATGGAGGGGTGTCCTCAGTTTAAAAAGGCTGAGAAACACTGGTATAAATGTTGGCACGCCACGGCTATATTTTAAGGTGTCTTCTTGCTGAAAACCAAGCTCTCTCAGGTTCTGCCTTGTTCAGTGAGAACAGCTATTTGCCTTGCTTGGGAAAGAATAGAGTAGTTCAAAAGACTATTAGGAGGGTAAAGCACTACAGAAGTGCTGTGAATTACTGTGCTACTTGAGGACAATATATTACTATGCTATACTGTAGCAGTCAGCTTAGGAGTGGGGGCTCAGCTAAGGAATTAAAAGCTGCTTTATCTTGAATGAATTTAGTGCTTGCCTTGCAAGGAATTCTGCCATCTACAAACCTAGTACATCAGTGCAGCCTGCTCAATGGATATGTCCCATAAAATCACTTAGACTGGAAAAAACTTGCTTCTATTCTGAATATTAGCTATGAAAGAAATGGCAGCTTCTTGCCTAACAGATCTATTCATTGTATGTAACTGAGTTCTAGCAGATTTATTTACTGATGAAAATCTAGTTTTCATGTTACTCTTTATCAGAACTTAGAAGCCAACACAGCAAAACGTACAATGTTGGATTTGGTCCTTCTTATATCATCATTATCAAGCTTTTATCAGAGTAGTTGGTGATTTTTTTAAAAATTTTGTCTAGTATACCTGTTTAAAGTAGATAAGAAGCATCATTCAGACGATTTTTGATGTATTTAGGTTGTACTGATCTTTTTTCTGAGGTACAACAATGCTAACAAGTTGAGACACAAACGAGATTTAATTCTCAGATATTGGGATGAGTTTCCAAAAAGAAAAAAAAGCATAACCTATAAGCTGAGCAATAGAAGTCAGCAAAAATAAGGGGTGCATTTTTATAGTTGGG